CTCAATCAGATACTGTGCGGCTCTTCCAATGGTGTCGTCAAAGTATACTACGACCCGAACCGGTCGGACAGAGGCGCCAAACTTTGTGTCGTTAAACATAAACGCAAATATAGAGAGAGCTATGAAATGATTGAACAACAGATCATTGCGCGTATGTTTCGCTTCATTTATTGCTTTGATTTGTACACAATATTCGTATGAAATTGTAATTAAATGAATGAATTTGCTTTACAGCACACGCTCTGCCGCTGTTCAAGACTGACCGCAAAAAGTCACACCGACTACAGATGCTTAAGGCGCGCAAAGATCCGGTCAAATCTCGGCGCCCAGAGCTGCCGGTGAACGGTCCCGGAGCGGGCGGTCGTATAGCTTCTGCCGGCAATACTTTCGCCTCATTTATAGCCAAACAAATTGGTATTAAGAATAAGATCGATGACAGCATTGATCCGCGAGAAGCCATTCTCAGACACGCCAAAGAAGCGGCTGAGAACCCGTATTGGGTGTCACCGGCCTATACGGCCACTCAGCCTAAGCCCGTGTTCGCCGCCGAAACCAAGGATGACGACGACGACGAGCCGTCGGCTAAGAAGCCACACATTCCTATTTAGACCAATCGTGTTATCATTTAATAATTCATTTTTTGTAAATATTGTAAATAATTTATAAATTAAAGAATTTTCCCGCATTTCCTAATACTTGACAACCGTCGGCTAAGAAGCCACACATTCCTATTTAGACCAATCGTGTTATCATTTAATAATTCATTTTTTGTAAATATTGTAAATAATTTATAAATTAAAGAATTTTCCCGCATTTCCTAATACTTGACAAAGTATTTGCAAATATTTCCTCAATATTATCGTTGCTTTCGCTGAATAGTATAGAGTTAAGCAGACGTTGAATGCTGTATTGATATGACCATGGTCATCATTTTATTCTTTATTTGCTAAATACTTACTTTATTTAAGTGATGGTTAAATTTGTACTATAATTATTACAAGACCATAATTAAAAATTGAAAACCAGAAAACGATAACGAAAATTATATTTAGTAAATTAATATTATTAAGTACATTATACGGTATAGTCAAATGGTGATAACAGTAATATAAATTATTATTATTTATTTTAAGGTTACTTCATTATACCGTATAACTTACATCGTTGTTTTCCTTAACAATACAACACTACAGTATTGCACACAATATATGGCTATTCATTAATTGAAGTCTTAATTATAGTGCAATTTGAGGAGAGTTTGCTTTTAAGTGTAATCGTATAGTAATTGAATGTTTGATAATATTGTACAATAATGAACATGTTAATCTATATTTAAATGATCTGTTCAATGCAATGACTGATGGAAGAAATTACATGAATATCCATTTAATTAAAATACAGGCAGTTGTGACACAATAAGCGAAAATCATATCAATTAATCAATAATATAACGATTGCTAATTAAATAATCAAAGCGACTAAACGAATGGTTAATACATTTGATTAAATTATCGCAAAAGCGTTAGAAACATGTAATCAATAGAAAGAATTAATGCAAAAATTAATACAAATTATATCTTAAGTAACAT